ATGTAATACATTTTTTTTTTTATTTTTTTTTTTTATTTTGTGCATTTCGATTTTAGAAAACTTTAATAATGTATAATTCAATTACCATTATTGTGCAGTCTGATAGTCAATAATGTGCATCTTGTTTAACAGTACGGTGCATTACGTAGAGTGTGTCTTTTTATATGCATAATATAAACTAAAGCCGAAACAAAATAATCAGTTCGATCGGTTAACCGTACTAGTCATAGTTTTTAAATCCGGCCCGAAAATCGACCCGGCCTCCGGGACACCGGTTCAACCACCGGGTCACCGGGTCAATTGTTGAACCGAATAATTAATTTTAAAATTTTTAAAATTATATATATAGTATTTTTGACATATAAATATATATAAAAGTAACAAAAATAAATGTTTTGTATACAAAATTTGTACATTTAAGTGTTAAAAATATTGTACCTCACAATGAATATTTACTATATCATTATATTTACATAATTTTTATTTTTATATAAAAACATATAAAAAAAATAAAAAATTTATAGAGACCGGGTCAATGACCCGGGTCGACCGAGTCAATGTCGGGTTGGCCGAGTTCTGACCGGGTCCATTGTTACCCGGACCGGGTTCGGCTCCAGGTCGACAGGGTCCCGGGTCAAAAAACAATGGTACTAACATACATAAATAGTCGAAATAACTTATATTTAATTTATAAATAAATATTAAATATATGCATTTATTAAAATTTGCTATAAATTATATATTTTTCCTTTTTTGTTTTACAAAACAATAGAGATATTATATAAAACGCACAAATGTGCAAAGAGCAGCCACCAGCTGATTACAAACAACCAACAACTGAATACAAGCAGCCAATAGCTGAAAAAGTGGGAGGAAATGTCAAAAGACCGCCTAGAACCGACCCCAACGGGGTAATACTCAAGAACGCTAAAAAAACATAAAAACAACACAAAGACCCCCACAGGGTAATACCCGAGTGTCGGACCCCCACGGAATAATAAAGTGACACTCGGGCGCACAGAGGCCAGCGGCCAAACCTAAAACACAGATACAAAAAACACAAAACAAAAGAACAATGAAACTAAACTAACAACAAACAAAGCCCTTCCCCAGCAAACGAGCAAGCTCAACCAGTAGTGAACAATCGACACAAGAACGATTCCAAGCCCGAGAACCACTACCGAAACTGCGAACCCGCCTATACAGTTGCCGAAACTGAGCCCCAAACCAATCCTCGAATCGACCCGTCTTCAACCGAGAAAGACACAACCATCCCCATCACCTGTCCCACCCGAACTCGTCTAACACCACTAGCTGAGCTCAAGAGAACCGGAACCCCTGCCGCCTAACACCGCTAGCCGAACAGAGAAGGGTGGCTCGGTCTCTCCACCCAGACCGCCACACTCGATGACTCGTGCTCCGCCCGTCACCACCACGATTCTCCGCGACCAGAGGCCGAGGCCCCATTAGATGAGGTGAAACACCGCCGGAAAATTCTAAATCCAACAATCACTGACAAGGGGAAAAATGAGGGCTTACCATCACAAATCGGAGCTCCACCAGTAACTGAGGAGAAGACCCCAATCGCAGGCCAATCGCCGACCCCGAGGGATGCCACCACCATCTGAAATCCCCGTAACAACCGCGGACCAGACCTCTGTTCACAGACCATCAACAGCAGCAACAGTGGCGTGCTTCGTCATGGGAGGGTCGATCGGTCAAGGACGATCCCTAGCCATGGCGTCGCCGTCGCCGAGAAAGGCGATTCAACTGGAAGATTGAGAGAGCTGCGAAGGGATTCTTGGGGGTAGGGTTTGTTTCGTCGAGAGCTGCATGTTTTATATATATTTGTCCATTAACTACATTCAAAATTAATATAAATTTATGAAATTGCATATATGCCCCTAAGCATTATCAAATTTTCAAAAGCAATCAATAACCCTAAACCCCCAAATCGAATTGAAGGTTTTTTTTTTTTGCAGCACCCACGACCAGTCAATCTCTGGCTCGCCCGCAGCCGATCGCCGGAGGAGCTGCACATCTATTCTTATGGCCTCTGGTCGACAATGTCTGCGACACAGGGGATGAGGAGCTCTTCGTCGATGCGGTGTGGCCCTTCCGACCGCGAGGTGCACAAAGGTGGCGACGACGACGGACACGGTCGACGGATGGTGTGCAGTAAAGTTGTGCTGCGTCTTGTGGCCGTGTAAAAATACATGGTGACGGCCGTCGGAAATGGATGCGGCTGACGGTATTGAAGTGACGACGCCGGCAGACGATCGAGGGTCAGGTAGTGGTGGCGAGTTCACTTGTGCGCAGTGAGTGTGTATATGTGTGTGTGTGAGAGAGAGAGTGTGAGTGTGCATTATTGTAATGTGTGGGTTTACATGTGTAAACCTTAAACCTCACCGTTTTTGTAGTTACTAGGAAGATGCACGTGCTACGCACGAGACATTTTTTTTTTCAAATTATTTTTAGTATTAGGTTTATATCAGTGTTCGAAAAATCGGCCTAGGCGGCCGCCTAGGTGCTAGGCGTCGGTACTCCGCCGATGATTTGGCCAAATCGGCCATAAAAATTGGCCGGGCGGGCTCGGCGGCGCCTAGTCGGGCTTAGGCGTGTCTAGATAGCCTAGGCAGCTCTCTGCGGTCTACGCGGCTCGGCGGGTTCGGTAGCATTGGCGGGCTGAGGCGTTTTCTTTCTGTTACGAAACGACGTCGTTTATGCCTTAAGACAAAACGACGTCGTTTTATTTAAGTTCATATAAAAAAAACAAAAAATATGTTTTGGACATAACAGGCTTGAGACTTCTCGCCTTCTCGTTCTCGGACAAAAGACTCCAAACGTTTCGGATAGAACAACCACTCTCGAGTCTCGACCCTCCTCGATGCGCCGCCGAACTGACTCGCCGCCGACCTGACTCACCACCGGACAGCCTAGTTCCATCGACGTGGACTCTCGAGCCTCC